GGGGGAGGGTGGGCGGAGGTTGAGCTCCCTGATAAGCAAACATTTTTCAGGTAAAAGTGTCACCGACTATAAAATATTGATAATTTTTTTATCCAAAACAAATAATCGGGCTTGTTCATGTATTTTCTTTAACTGCATATACAAACAAGGCTATACTTAGTAATGTTTGTACCCGAGCGCACTTGTGCACAAGGGTATTATAACTTTGTTCACATAACGGTTGTTTGTAACAGGCAAAACGATTCGAGATAGATATAGACAAATGTATACATAAATGATCAGAATGAAAAGAGAAATCGATTAGGCGGTCTGTCCGTCCGTCCGTCCGTCTGTGCACACGATAACTCGAGCCAAAATTAAGAAATCTTAACGAAACTTGGTACGTGCACTTCTTTCGAGCGTGGAACGAATGGTATTGAAAATGGGCAAAAACGAACAATAACCACGCCTACCTCCCATATAACGGTAATTATCAGATATACGAAAACTGCGATATTTTAGTAACTACTGAAGATTATTCACTCAAAATTGATATTTACAATAATTTTTAGACCAAAATTAAGCGCGAGGCCGATTTCACTTAGTGTACCAAATGGCCGAAAATTTTTAAAATCGGGCAATAACCACGCCCACATCCCACATAACGGTAATTTAGAGAAATACGAAATATTCGATAAATCAGTAAATATTAAAACGAATTTATTCAAAATTGTTGCTTGCAACAACTCTTTACCAAGAAATACGTTTATGGTAACATTTTGGAAAATGGGCGTGGCACCGCCCACTTATGATCACATATATGTATCTCAGTAACCGTTGTACCAATTTGTACCAAACTCTGTATGGTTATTTTGCCTGCCTCATAAAAGCAAAACGAACTAGACTTTTTTACTTGTTTTTTGTAAAATACTTCCAGATAGTTGCTAAACCACACGGTTAAAAATTTCGTATTTAATTTTAAACTTTTTGGACTATATAGATGACCAACTGTACGGAAAGATTTTTCCAAAATGAAAACTTCTGTTGAATTATGATTTTCTTCCAGCAAAACCGATCCAGATATCGATACCTGAGTGGAAGATCGACCTATCTCGGAAGCCAGTTCTAGGGATGAAACGATACCATGCAGGTATCGATACCTTTACTTGAAAGTAGTATCGTATTAATCATATCAATACGCGAAAAATATCGAATCTAAAGTATCGATACCTACTCGTGTAGGGTCTGTATTTCGATGGCTGAGTGGAAGATCGACCTATCTCGGCAGCCAGTTCGAAAACGCTCTATCTCAAAAAACTTTTCAAGAACGCCCTATTTCAGAATTTAATTGAAAAACACCCTATCTCAAAATTCGATTCAAAAACGCCCTATCACACTTCAAAATGTATTGAAAATATGCTGATATAGGGCGTTTTTGAATCGGCAGCTGAGATAGGGCGTTTTTGAAACGAATTCTGAAATAGGGCGTTCTTGAAAAGTTTTTTGAGATAGAGCGTTTTCGAACTGGCAGCCGAGATAGGTCGATCTTCCACTCAGCCATCGATTTGTGTTATTACCTTTTATTGTACTGTGTTCATTTCAACTTTGTAATTTTGGAAATTTTAGATTTATGTGATTTTTGTGGTTCGTCAATCAAATAGAAAATTGTTATTATTCAAACTTTTCTCAAATGGTGTACAACAGAAAATAAAATAAGTTTTGTTATTTAAAATAAATACCTACATTTTAGATTTATGTGATTTTTGTGGTTCGTCAATCAAATAGAAAATTATTCAAACTTTTCTCAAATGGTGTACAACAGAAAATAAAATAAG